GCTGTGTCTGAGCCGCCCAAGTCCACCTCCATTCACCGTTGCTGCCACCGTTGCCGCCGGAGAACCCTGGTCGCTGGACCACGGCCTGCTTGTCGTAAAGGCAAGGATCGCCAGGTGCTCGCCAAGAAGGACGCATCTGCTGTCCGCGATCTGCGGGTCCGGAACGCTCCATCCCTGGGCTGCCATCGGCTCTGGAATGGCCGTTCGGTCTCGATCCAGGAGTTCAAACTTCAAAGCAAGCATCTCCACGGGCGAACCAAACCCTTAAACTAACAAGCGAATGGCTACATAGTATCACGATATCATTACCATCTTCCTCATCTCAGCAGCCTTGGCGCAGATTGACTGATTCAGGCTGGGCTCAGTGCCGGTACCAACAGCCGCCCGGGAGATCGGAAACACCTGGTTTTCGGGCCAAATGTTTCAGACGCAGAAACGCGCATCCCCCAGGGTGTGAGTCAAAGGAACGTAGGCCTCCGTATCAGGGGAGGAAGCCCAGAGCAGACTGCCAACCCGAATCCAACCCCTAACCCACAGGCTGTTCCTACCAATGAATCGAGATGGCGCGGATTTGACAGATCAATCTTCTGTCTCGTCTGCAAATATTCAAGACACGACATGGCGACTTCCGGGTTGGTCGATCAACGCCCAGCTAAGGGTTGAGACGGCTTAGTATATTAGTACTTCTATAACGTTTATTATTAGCCCTTAATAATATAACAATATCGGTCGTAGAAGGATAACGTTGAAGTGTCTCAAAATCAATGCCGCCTGGCTGATAGCCAAGATCTTCCCTGTTCTAGTACCTATGACACTGCCATCTTCAAGCCAGAAGCTGCATGTACTTAAAGTAGGATTTCTAGGTTGAGATGAGAATTTCTGAAGGGAAGAATGTACGCTATATATACAAAGGAAACTCATGGCTGTAGACTTGCCCGAAGAAGCAAGAAGCAATGATGCTGTCTATTTTGGTGCCGAGGAGAGCTATTTAACGAAGATTCCACGCTGAAGCATAGGAATTCATAAACCAACAAGGTCTCATTATGCAAGTCGGTTATTGAACGCAATGTAGCTTGCATTTGGATGCTGACAGACGTTTTAACGTGGAGGAGCCATCATTGTGCCTCTTGCTCCCACAAGATGCCAGAGAGTGTGAGTCGAAGAAATAGAAATGAATGGACATTTATACTCATCAGAATGTAAAGCCTCTAAGGACATTCAAGTCGCTTACATCTGAATCCAAGCAATTCCCAGCGAAACGTGCGTATCTTATTTCCCCATTACTCCCTTATTACCACCTAGTCTCCATCCATCTTAGACGGGGACGACTAGTATTATTGAAAAATGTACCATTGTTTCGGAACTCAAAGTATAATCTCCCTTCTGCTCCGAGCTATCAAAAGAGTTATCCAATTCCTATTGTACAGTCCGACCTCATAGCTAACCAAGCCAACGCTTCTTTACCAGTAGCATTTTCCTTGTCCTAACCCCTACCCTCTTACACCCTGCCATCCGAGTCATACAACTCTAACTATGCCGTGCCACTATGATCGGCTCCCTAAACGTATTCCCCCTGAATGAGACCAATTGTATTTTTCGTTTCGAGGACGAACTACCAACTCCATGGTTTAGGTTGCCAATAAGCGTCGGTGTTCTTGCTAACAGAAGTCTACTTTCTTCCAGCAGACTTCTTGCTGGTGCCAGTCTTCTTAGCAGCAGCGGCAGGCTTCTTGCCAGCAGCAGGTTTACTAGCAGCGGTCTTCTTTCCACCAGTAGTTGATTTCTGTCCGCCAGTAGCCTTCTTGCTAGTACCAGTCTTCTTGCCAGCAGATGTTGACTTGTGCCCACCAGCAGCCGACTTCTTTCCACCAGTGGCCTTTTTGATAGCACTAGTAGCTTTCTTGGCAGCGCCAGTCAACTTCTTACTGATACCGTTCTTCTTTCCACCAGCAGTTGACTTCTTTCCGCCAGTAGCCTTGTTGCTTGTGCCGGTCTTCTTGCTAGTACCGGTTGGCTTCTTTCCACCAGTGGCCTTCTTAAGAGAACCTGTAACCTTCTTGGCAGCACCAGTCAACTTCTTACCAAGGCCGGTCTTCTTTCCACCAGCCGTTGGCTTCTTTCCACCAGTAGCTTTCTTGCTAGCACCAGTCTTCTTACCAGCACCAGTCTTCTTACTAGCACCAGTCTTCTTGCTGGCAACAGGCTTCTTCCCTCCAGTAGCTTTCTTGCTTGCACCGGTCTTCTTGTTGGCACCGGTCTTCTTGCTGGCACCGGTCTTCTTGCTGGCACCGGTCTTCTTGCTGGCACCGGTCTTCTTGCTAGCACCGGTCTTCTTGCTAGCAGACGTTGCCTTTTTACTGGTGCCAGTCTTCTTGCCAGCAGCAGTAGACTTCTTGCCAGCAGCGGTAGACTTCTTGCCAGCGGCTGGCTTACTACCGGAAGCAGGCGACTTCTTGCCAGCAGCTGATTTCTTGCTGGTAGTGGTCGACTTCTTACCCGCAGCAGGTGTCTTCTTACCCGCAGCAGGTGTCTTCTTACCCGCAGCAGGTGTCTTCTTGCCCGCAGCAGGTTTGCTAGCAGCGCTCTTCTTTCCACCCGTGGCCTTCTTCGCTGCTGCTGCCGGCTTCTTCGAGGAGGCAGCAGGTTTCTTCGCCGCGGCCTTTGCCTTTGACGCCCGCGTCTCGAGCAGATCGAGCGTCTCTAGCTCGCGCAATTGGAGGAACAAGTCATCCTCGTCGTTCATGCGCAGCCCGAGGTCGACGCCATCGTCACGGGTATCGAGAAGGGCCTGGTCGTCCCGAGCGTGGAGCTCAGATCGGGACACAAGATTGTCGGAAAGCTCAGAGCCAACAACCGTCCTAGAAGCGGCGAGTAAAAGTGGGAGAGCGGAAAAGCAGAGCTGTCCGGCCGAAACCATGATAAATTCGGAATAAAAAGAAAATCTAAGAACAAAAAGAAGAAAGAAAATGAAAATGAAGAAAGAAAAAGGGGTATAGGTGAGCGTGGCTCAGAGTTCTATAAAGAATATCGACGAATTGGAAAAGTAGTAACAGTTTTATGTGCAGTAAGTTTTGCTTGCCAAGGAAGAAATCTGGACAGAGAGATCTCACACATGGTATATATACTTGTCCAAGGTAGTGTTGGACTGAATCGAAGAGTTGCGCAATGAGGATGTTGGCTATTTTTGGTGTACATCATTTAGCAAATGCGTGATCATTTTTGCGCGTATATCATTTATTTCGGGAGAGATTTAGGATGGCCCCCTACGCTTGAACATGGTAGTTCACAGCTCTAGGAGGACTTTTTGTAGAGATATCAGGGGCTAACGTTGCAATTGTCTTCGTCTTAATGAAGTCTCCGCCCTTGATCGTAGGGAAACCGGAATAGACGTGGTTGTATTATTAGAACCCAGGCCGAATTCAAGCATATTCATATGCATACTGCCCATTTAAAGTGTGTCAAATTAATTAAGATGAACCAGATTGAGGATGATGTGATCGGATTTCGACGTCCAATGTAACCATCGTGAGGCACAGCATACCTACGGTGCTCCGCCTTACGCCTCAACTTCACACCACTAATGATCAATCAGGAAGGACTTTCGTATCATCATCGGCATTTCCCATTTGGGGACTTCTGAATAATACACGAGACGTTTGTTTCGAAACAAGCATTTGGTGCCGGTTGAGTATCCTCACGAAGCCCACCTGCGAAAAGAAGCTGCTGCTATTGGTGGCCATTTCTCAAATGATGATCCCGTACGTAGATCGTGAGTGAACAGAAGCATTTCAACTTACTGGGGCTCTAGGCCGAATTACGTGATTCGTATGATCACCTCCACAGTTTATTCATACACTGGTTTCGATTTTAGGATGGCCTCTTCATTGTAGGCTGTCTACATGTATACTACACAGTGCTCTATCGTACGAGTGAACACTACAACAAGGAATATCACAACAGACCCTTCATACTCCTGACTCTCTAGAGGCCCAAAGCATCAAAAAAATTGCTGACAATTAGTTCAACTAGAAATATCTCCAAGATTACCAGCCTAAAATGAGATATCTAGGCCTCTGCTTCCTAGACAGGCGAGTGTCCCTTCGTGCGATACGCGTCCATTGCCCAATATTATTTTCCGTTTAATCGACCCTAGATCTTGCTGTGAAATATCCCTACTCATGCCTTGAGTATTAGCACTTTGTCAAGGCCTAGAGCCAAGTAGACAACGGCATGGAAGAGCGCACCATTCTCCCTACTTGGAACTACCTATAGGCCTCGGACACCATTCTAATATCGAGGCATAGCTCCCTTACCACAAGGAGGGTATTTCCATCTAGCGTCAGATATCCGGCCACTTTATCTCCGTTGGCTTAACTCTAAATCGCGCTCGTTCGAAGGTGAATTAAATCGCTTCAGAGCTGGCCCGTCTCCGTCCCGCGCCTCAAGAAGATGCTCCGTGTTTTCCATAGCTTAGTAGAAGATGCTGCTTGCCTGGCATTGGATCTTTTTGGGTGTCCCTTTCATTAGGAGCCTGTCTAAGAGAGGCAGGTATATGATTAGCCCGTTGTGATATTCCTTAGTATAGTGTTCACTCGAGGGAAAACAAAAAGCTTGAGAGCTCCAAGGGATAGTTTGCAGAGTGTGGTGCCCACTTTCAGAAGTCACAGAATCATCAGCCATCAGTCCCAGCAGGGATTCTCAATATATAACAAAATATATTGGGGTGTGCTCAGCCTACGAAAAATCCAGGCAAAATCCAAGCAAAAGATAAAAGGAAACCATTAAACAGTCGGCCTTCGTTGGTCGTCACCGGCCCAACCACAATCGGTTCCTTACCAAGGGGGCGTGTTTGGAAAAACTGTGCAATGAAACTTCAGCGTTGAGCATGTCAGATTCCTTGCTAGCTGCAGGCAGCTTCTTTGAACCAGTACGACAAAACGCGCTGTCGAGCCTGTGAAGATATAATTTCAGTTGCAGGCAAACCAACCTCAAAAGGATATCTATGGTGGATTAGCACCTGGTTTTTCTCCTCTCGCCTCTTCGGTGACGGCAGCGGGGACGCCTCCGCGCTTTGTTTTCTTGTTCGTCTTTTTCCGAGGCTTGCGTTTGGCTTCTGTTGTCTCCCCATTCTCCGCCTTTGTCAGTGGCCTCGGGGCTTGGGAAATCTCTCGGGCCGTCTGTGCCCAGCCTGGAAGATTAGCCTCTTGCTGGCCTTCAGCGTATCTGACAGCCAGCATCAACAGAGCCCTGAGGATGAAATGCGCATCGTTCCCAGAAGAATGGAGATTCGCGAAAGGTATCTCGAGTTCTTCCAGCAGCGCCTCTAGAGAGTATGTGTAACGTGGAGATGCCGGTGACCGCACCAAGATTGTTGTATCAATAACTTTGTACTGGCTGAGTTGAATGCCGAGTTTTTCGAGTACCGAGATCTCTCGGCCTCCCTCATGGAATACAAGAGTTGTTTCAGGGCCTTGAAGTATTTTATCGATATGTTGCTTAATATCCTCCCGAGGTACATGTTCCCAATCTCCAAATAGGAATCGGTTAGCCTTTATTCTTTTAAATTTAGGGCTTCCAACAACAAGATGATGGGATTCGATTGCTGCAAGATTGTCGGGGCTAGGATGAAGCAAAGATTGAGCATCAATAATAGAGATGCCAATATGGGCTTGGTAGACAGTAGTCTTATCCTCTTGAAGAGAATCGATATCAATTGCAACAAGCTTGCCGGTCTAGGTAATGAAAATTTTAGTAAGTCAAATGGTAGATTCTGGAAGAAACAAAATGGGAACAGAGAATGAGTGACAATACCAAGGGGACAAAGCTTTGTCCTCGAATTGATAACGTGCCGCCCATGCTGAGGATATATTTCTTCCAAGCTTCATTAGCAATTGAGGAGGGTCTTGCCCGTGTTAACGCAAAAACTACAGGGGTAGTGCAGAGCCATATTATAAGGTGATGATACCAACATGTTCTCAGGTTCAGTATGCGAAGATTTCCATTAACCTCTCTAGGTAGGTTTAATGTTCATGTATTAAGCGCCAATCTTCACTCTACTATTGAACATAATCCAGGACAGCATCTCTCAATACGGCCACCGTTTTCCTAATTATGTAAGTCAGAGGAAAGCATAAAGCATGAAGTAGTTGTCCTCGTCTGAGGAGATCCCGCCTTTCCGTCATAAGACGGAGGCGTCCAGGTGCAGCGAAAATGTTGGAGCTGTGGCAACAGCTACCATACTCTAATGGCATAATTTCAGAAAATCAGACGATGCACGCTTGTAAATAATGTCTACCAAAGTAGGTATTCATCAGTGGTAAATCGGTGGGAATTGTCCCGAGGCGCAATGGCGAGGCTTACACAGCGTCAAAGCTCAATTGCATAGAGGCTGAGCTACGCCTGCTTACATGGATATGGATACTATCTCGGTAGTATTGATGCGAACCTAGTTGAAGAGTGGCTGAGCCAAGGCCAAGTCGAATGTCGCATCTAGTGATAAAACAGTAAAGGGCGCAAAACTGCAATCGGTTCCTGAAACTGGAGCAAGAAAACACACTCAGCACTGGAAAGGAAGCATCAGCCAATGTCAACGGAACAACAAGCGTGCACAGCTACAGTCATAATGCCCTCTTCCATTGTGCTCGCGAAATCACCGTCGAATGCGACAACTGGCAAGGGAAGCTCTCAGAAGCAACATGAACCCAAAGCACAGTCCCTTATGGAGCAGGCCGTCCCATCCGGAGATGTGGCAGGCGTGGAGCAAAGTCTAGCCCAAGGAGCCAACGCGACGGAACCTATGCACGGCCATTTTCCATTATGTGTCGCAATTCGGAACGGGGAAGACGACGTCGCCATCTTCCTTCTGCAGCACTACCCAGCTCACAGTCTTCAGCCGGCGCCTTGGGCCGAATCTCTCGACCGCTTTCTGTTACGACTTGGGATGTTTCCTATCAACTACAGATATCTGCCGTACTTTGGCAGGTTATTAGCCATATTTGTTGTTGTATTCCTCCTTTACAAAGTACCAGACGTCTTTCCCTTCAAAGTTACAGCATCCCCAGCGGTTCATATAATTCCCCCTCTTGGTACAGAAATCTTGTGTTTCCTCTTTAGCAAGTATTATCAGGAATCCCCCTCTCACGCTGGGGTTGTCGGCGCCCAGGCAATAAATGCTTTCCTCGATTCGAAGATCCAGAGCGAACGGCTGTTGCTGGAACTCCTCGACCGAGGTCTCATATCGCCCTACTCAGCCTCATTTGCCCGGCTCCGTGGCGTGGCGGCAGGCAAGGAATATGCAGAAGCCACCCGCCGACTCGCTGCATTGAGCCGCGCGCCGCCAGAAAGTAACGAGAAGCGTGCTAGTACACCACATTCATGAAGCCGAGCGTAACAGCGCGGGACAGTGTATGAACAGTCGTTGGGCGAGGGGCTGCGAAGCCTTGGAGGAGAGTACCCGGCATCCAGTATTCGATACCGCTTGACACAGTCTAGAATGTTATAGCTTGCCTTTTACATGAATCATACATTATACATAGAGTTGTTGTTTTTTTTTTCGAAACACAACAAGTAAGAGATTATACCCAAGATCAGGCAACACATGATGTGGTTAGGGACAACAGTTTTAATCTCAAACACAATTAGCGGTCTATACCCTTCCAAACTTTTTCTAGAGTGGAAGGTCTGGATATAGACCGCTAATTAGGTATATTTAAGAATAAAACTGCTGTCTTCAACAACATCACGCGTTGCCTGATCTTAGGATATACTCCTGTTCATGTCGAAAAAAAGAACAGGAATAAATACGTCAAGAAAAGCCGTGAAGACAATTTAGAAATAGAGCAGCAAGGCAATCGCATCGCAGCGAAGTAAAAAACTAGAGACTATGATTGCTTTTGTGGGTGAAGCAAATAAAGGGAAGAAAAAGGTATAAAAAGAAAAGAAGGAAGGAAATGAAGCCCTAACTAAGTACAGGACCGATAGTACTGATCAGATCCTCCCACTTCTCTGTCCAGTATTATGTAACGAATATCATATTCCTCAAACGTATCGATGGGCTCAGCGCTACGTATCCTACTATCCCATATCATTTATACAATTTGTTACGTTCTTACGTGGTAGCCACGCAGATAGCTGCATACCCAAAGCCTAGTCAACTACTAGGCTGAGTTTTTCCCATCTTCTAACCCTCCTTGGCCCGGCAAATTGAGAAGGACCAAGGTAGAAAAAGGGTGGCCGTGGTTCTTTGAATAACAGATTAGTCACTTGAGGTAATATAGCACTGTGTATTTGCCTTTTTACTTGAGTTCGTCGTCATCATTCATCAGGCAATCGCAACGGGTTGGAAAAATCCCGTCAACCATACTCAAAGAAGTCGGTTCGCAGCGCGGCGTTGGCGCCGTAGGCAGTGTGTGGGAATAGCATGAGTATATGAAGGGCATGGATGCGTGGACTCATAGATTGCAATCTCATGATTATCGAAATCCCATAGGGTAAGAGGTAGGTTGGTAAAGAAAATCACCCAATGCTTCTACGATGTCCATGCCTACCCTATCATAAAGAAGGCGAATTCTTGGTTCTATAATTTCAAGAGTATACAACACATCTCAGAATCGACGACTACTCAATGTCTTGGAGGCTACTGTGGGATAGGCAAGTAAACCAACAGCAACTTATCGGAGCAGCCCGCCACTGGGCTTGGCCATGGAAACGTTCTCGCAAGCCAGATACATGTAGTGACGTACAAATTCTTTCTCGTGGTATAGGTATACCGCTAGGACACAACCTGTAGCAGTACCCAGGGTGGACATCACACAAATGTTGGACAGTTTAAGCCGGGTTGATTAGGCTTGTGAAGGTTTGGTTTTTTGAGTAATTACTTTTCATTGAATCCTCGACACTCCGTCAAGATGCCGTGAGGTATAACATGCTAAGTTCGTAATGCAAATACATGAATGCTTCCCCTTTATAATCCAGATGATAACATGCGTAAGCCAACGATGCACTGATGATGTTACCAAACGCCTTTCAAATCAACAATCCTATGAGGGTATCCGAAACGCCAATCAAAGCACACATTAATGTATAGAATCCAGTAAAACAAAATCTCTTAACCAAGCAACTTCTGCACACGTTCGTTTAGGACTCGGTCGACAGGCTGCATGTTGCGCTGTAGCACAACATTCTCTCGCCCTCCGAGAGCCACAATGCGGATCCATTCGGGAGCGACTTCGGTGGCGAGGAGACGGATGCAGGTGGTTGCTTCCTCCTTCGAGATGGGCATCCGTAGCGAGTCCTTGAGCCTGTCCATCACAGCAGCCATGCTGAAGGCTTGTCTGGGCAAAGAGACGGGGTTGGAGAGACTCAGCATGGAGAGAGTCGCCGACACATCCATGACACGGTTCAGGGCAGCCCGGCGTTGAAGCTCGGGACCAGAGGGCGGCACAGGCCCGTTGTCCTTGACAAGCTGCTTGAGACGAATCCGGTCCAGGAGGCTCATTTTCGAGCCGTCTGGGTTCAGCATCGAGTTGTTGGAGAGAGCCTCCTGCTTGGCCTGCTTCTCCTGCTCCCTGGCTGCCAGGTCGCTCTTCAAAGATGACAGAGTGCGCTGACCCTTGGCCAGCATAGGGTTGGCATCGAGACCGAGATCCTTGTTCTTGATGGCGGCCTTGGGGAGATCAGCAAGGGAGAGGTTTTCGAAGGTGATGTCAACATCTGTCATCTCGTCCACAGTTCGTTCAGTGCAGATATGACGCAGGCTTTCCTCGAACTGTTTGCATAAGCGATCCTCGCTAATCCCAGCTGCATTGTGTTGCGAATCAATCTCTACACAGATCTTTCCCCGGCCGTAGTCAGAGACAATGAATGGTGAGGTGTAGCCATACTTGGCAGACGATTGTATAGCGATGCAGCGCTGGATATCTTCGACGGTGACTTGGCGCTTACCCCAAGCCATCGAGATATTTGGCGCAATCGCACGCACATCCACAGGCGCGGTGCTTCTGCTGTGAGCAACATGGAGCATGAATGTCTTGACAAATGCTTTGTGCAGGTCGACGAGCTCGGCCAGCTGTTGCGGGAAAACATTTTTATCCTCGGCCTTGGGGATAGGCTTGACATGGCTGTCAAGCTTCGTTTGCTTGGTCTTCTTGGGGGTAGACACGGGCTTCGAGGGACGAGGTGCTGGCCTCCGTCTAGTGGCTGCAGGGGTAGGCTCCGGTTGCTGTTCGCGACGGCAGGCCCGCTTTGATACGATCACTTCGTCCTCGTCGCTGCTGGGGGGGAAGGAGATGGTGCGTCGAGTCAGTCTTGGGTTTTCATCAATCTCGGCAGGTGCTGCCTTGCGCTTCTTCGATGGCGCAGAGAGTGCAGCCTTCTTCAATGGGGCTTCGGGGATGGCTGTCTTTGATACACGGGTGAAGCGGGTGATGGGCTGGCTGAGACCAGCATCAGCCTGTCTCCTTTTTGCTGGGCGAGGCATCTTTGGAGGAAGGAGCTGTTGGAGGAGGTTTCTATTTGAGTTCGGGTCAATGATAAGTGAGGCAGTTGCGTTGCAAGAACAAAGCAATTGAAAGAAGAAAGAGCTGGCGGGGAATGCTGATGCTTGTGCGTTTGGAGGGAAACAACAACCAAAGTGTTTTTTGCTGGGATGTCCCAGAAAAATACAGGCGTTGGCTGGGCTCCATCCATATCAATTAAACGCGCCCTTGAACTTGAACGCGTCGTGATGGTGGATCATCGTGGATATCGCGTCCGACGAGCGCGTAAAGTGGCCAGACCCACATTCGTGACTCGCGACAACGTCCACGCGTGTCCAATAAGCCCCGTCGGCCTGGTCTTCCCTGACACCTCCTCCATCAATCCCACAACAGAATGGCATGCCCAAGATGGCAGGCCGAGGCCCACACCACCAGATTTGAAATGGTCGCACACCAGAAACAATGGGATGGATGCCATCTCACGTACGAAAGGGTAGGCCCTTTGTCCCTTGCCTGATAGCGCACTCCTTGATCGCTGTGGTTGGCCACCCCCCTGGTAGCCACCACCACACCCTCCCAGTATAGCACGTGGGGGAGAGCTCCCATCGGCCACATACAACTGTAGTCATCAGATTCCTAAAAACCACGTCATGAGGATTCTTATCTAATTTTGTAAGACCAATTTGTTAGGCAGCCCAGATAGCCATATTATGAGAGCAACTACGGAGTGTCGCAGTCCAGCTAATTAGCCTAGTAAGTGGCAGGGCAGAGGGTTTGAGAGCCTGTTTCCACTGCCATGTTCAACACAAAACACCACAAGCTTCGCACTAAACATACTCATGAAGACAAGATACGGTGTAAAACCTCCAAGTGTAGAGTTAAAAATTCCTTTATGAGTCAGGACAACTTTTGTTGTTGTTATTTTCCGTAAATGACGTGGCCGCAGCTCTGAAATCTATCAAGTTATCCCATGCTCCCACAAGAAAGACAGTTAGTGATAGCCGAAGCTGAGAGAAAATCAGAAACCCTTCGAGATGATCTCCTCACAACACCAACCTTGTTATATTGCCAATGATGACAGGCGGCGTCATACGCTTGAGCAGTTAAAAGTATGACCGTTGAACCGAGGTAAATTAGATCCTTCGATTTTTTAAAGCCTATGATGACTTAAACCATGCCCTTGAGCAGTTCAACTGTTCGCATGGGTGTATATTAAACTGAGGCAGTTGATATCTGAGTGAATGAGTAAGGGGTGTAGTCTCTCTTACAATCCATTTAGAAGGTCTCTGCCGAGGTACATAAGGTACTCTTTGGCGATCACAAGTAAGTAAGCTCAGATTATATAATCATTGATCGGTTTCAAGGATGAAAGGAGCCTTTAGTGAGCTTGTTTTCTAGGACAATATTTAGCTGTTGACATCCCGAGGCATCACTAGCTTTCCTATATCATATTCGCCTCATGAAAGATGATACCGTAGCATTCTCGCTTGTCTCCAATTGTGACGTAATAGGCTACCGCGATGACGGTTTTTCTGTCCCCTTGATTCTCTCACAGAACATAGCCCTTCCTCGGTTACGCACTGATAAAAGGTAATTCCTAGACTGATGCTTGGCTTTTATCATATGCTTTTGCAATTTCGCACCCTCGGCTCTGGCAAGCATAGCTCTTCACGGGGATCTAGTCATTCGACATTGGGCAATTTAATCAACCAGTCGGCCAGTCGCGCAACAGTGGATATGTCGTCATTCTTTCCAGTGAAAATGTTGGGTCGACGTTGGTCTCTCGCTTGTTCTATTTTTTGGGGCTCAGGCTGAGCACATGTGCTGGGTGGCACAAGTCCATGATCACTGGCAGTTCAATAATGAAAGAAATTGTGATTAAAGCTCGGGAGCACCGAAGTGA